TCCCCACTTTCCTTGAACATTCTAATGTTGAATCCTGTTCTTCCAACCTGACAGCGCTTTTAAATGAAATTTTCGATATTTGCTGCCCTTTTGATACTGTTATGGTACGACCGGATAGAATTTCTTCCCCCTATCTGAAATCGTTAAGACGTAAAAAAGAACTCCTTTAGAAGCTAGACTTACGTGATAACCTTAAGGACGTTACCGTCTTAATAAAAACAGAGATTGACAGGCTAAATAGCCTGTTTGTCAGCCAACTATTTTCCTCTTCTTACTCCCCCCGTTCCCCCCTTCTTCAGCTGAGATTTGGAAAAATCTTAAGCGTCTCACTGGCCATCGCAACACGCTGGTGCATGTGGATGCAGATTTCATATTTAGTCACAATGACTCCCATCTACCCTTAGAAGACATTCCCCTATCGCAGAGTACATTCCAACACTGGAACACTGGAAAACAGTTTTGGAATCGGCACCCAGAATGCAGGCAGTTGACAAACCGTCATATATGAAGTCACACTACTTAGTAAACGATATTTAGATGTAAACTTCGCTGATACGCTGTTGTTAGGCGTTATTGTATTTCTACTTTCATATTTACTACGCATTTGGTATGAGAATACATTCTATAAATCTTAAAGCAAAGTTTACTAAACAAGAGCCATTTCTGACGTTTTCGGTATATTGCGCTTTTCAATATAAATCGTCATTTCTAAACAACACAAGGCTGCCTATAATATTTCGTTTATGTTTTAATTCTTTAAAACTTGTACTTAATTAACATAGACATTAGGTCCATGAAATGGTGTCAGTTTGTGAGTGATTGACAATCATTCGTAAATTTCGACACATCTCATGAGTTAGGTCCAGCTGTACTTTGGGGCTTCATATAGAGCTGGAGAAAACAATCAATACAATAACAGGGGACTAGCGATAGTGTGTACAAATTGTAACTTAAAAAAACTCGCACTCACATCTCTGGTGTTCCAAAACCTTGGATTGGATAAGTGTGGTTGATGACGGTTAATAAATCAGAAACGACCATTACATTTTCGTGCGTACCTGCCATCACCGTCTCGATCGGTAGTTTATGAGCTTTCACCTCTAAATTCAAGTTTGCAAAATTATCGTTAAAACCTGTGCATCTTTCCGTCAGTTTTTTTAGCTGCCCAGGTTCTCATTGACTTACAGTCGAAAGTGCTGTGCGCTCTTTCCAATCAGTTGACTGAAAAAACAGGTTGCGTCATTTTTGTTTCCCGTGAAAAATAGAGACCGATTTTATAAAGCAAAATTAAGTAAACGGTCAGCGTGAATAAAACAACTAGACTAATTTAATTTTTCGCAGAGATAACCAATTTGACAAAATTTGCAATTTGAACCGCAATCGTTGCGAGGGGAAGTTTCCTACCCTAAGGCTGAAATACCAGAATTCTCCACCGTGGGCTAAAGTGAATACCTTGGGTTTTGTGCCAGTTGATACCATTTTAATTGTGACAGCCTGTCACCCTCTGTTGAGGGTTGAGCTTATCGATGACCTTAGTACTCAAGTGCAATCCAGGTATGCATGTCTGTGCGCTGGATTCCTTAAAAGATTCCTAGTTAAATGCTTTTTTTTCTTAAAAATGAAGACACAGCAGTTTTGAGGCCTAGGGTGATGCAGAACAGACTACAAAAAATAAACTCACACTTTTAGCATTATATACTAGACGTGAATCTAATGGTCAGTGAAACCCTTTTCCCGAAATTAAGTGATCCAGAAAACGACAAAACTTCGAGTTTCTTAGCCAATACAAACATATTTAGCTGATTAATTAGTCCATTCAAGTCAGTTTGGACATCGCGCTGGAGGTAATAACCCTAAAGTCTTTCCTACAATATCCAGTTAGATGCAGCAGATCACCAATAAACCAACTGACAGTTTACTGCAAGTCCTGATTTTCCCAGCAACCTGCGTATGCATATTTGCTGCAAATGACCAATCGCATTGATTAGGGGCAACGTTCGGCTTTAAGGAAAATTTAAACTTTTAAATAACTCATAAGGTGACTTTGAATTGCACTTGTATTTAATGTTTTTAAAATAGATGCCGTTTATTTAGCGAGTAAGGAAGGTACCACATTTTTCTTGGCTCAAAGGTAGACGAAAACTTTTGCCATTGTCAAACTAACAGATTGGATGTCGCATAAGCCACGATATCACTGTTTACCGAAGTGTCTGAACTACAAACATATTGAAGCCGGATTCCTTCCCTTTTCTAAAGAAGAGACAGCTGTCTGCTAAGTGGATATAACAAAGGAATTTTGCATTTGACTCTCATAAAATATACTCGAACATCAACACCACCGACGACATGACATTTTCTGCCTAACAGTAGGTGGGCTAAATCATGAAATGTCAACCGAAGTTCCGAAATATTTGCTTCGTTTCGAAAAGATTAATTAAGTAGACTTGTAAAACTAATCGGTCTGCAATATAATTTTTAATTATTCTGCTACCCCAGGATGCCGGCTTTTGAACGAAATTCCTACGGGCTACATGGAAAAACTATAGGCAGTAAGAAAGGACTACTTATGTAGCATGCATTTTGTTCATTGAAATTCGATGCCCTTAACAATCCAATTATATTTCATGGAAAACATTAATATAATGTTCATTCGGTAAAACATTACGTCTTCTTTCAATTTGATGCTCGAAGTAAGGACATAATTCGGTTTTAAAAGGGCTTCTAATTGAGAGGTCTAAATACTGTGAAATGGCCGTTCATAAAACGTCAAGTCTCTGCACTAACTAATGTGGTTTATAAAGTTCACAATATGACTCAAATCCAATGCTGGATTTGAGGAACCCTATATGGTCTCCTCCTGATACCGTACGGGAGTACATGGTTGTCTGTACACGGAAAATATACGGCTTGTAGTTTGAAAATCCTGAATCAAAGTGTGAGGGCAGAGCGGGTACAAAATTATTAGGGAATTGAAAAAGTTTTTGAAAACCGAATAATAGCCCTAAGTCGAGTACATAATCGGAAGAAGACGTAATGTTCTACCGAATGAGCGGAAGAATGGATTTGTTTCAATGTCCTTCATGAAATAAAATTGGACCTTTAGGGCATCAAAAATCAATGAGAAAAATGCATGTCAGTTAATAAGTCATTTCTTACAGCGAATAGTTTTTGCATGCATCCAGGAGGAAGTTCGTTCGAAAGCCGGCGTCCTGGGATAACTGAATTATTATAGAGTAGTACTGCAGGCTGATTAGCTTTGCATCGTTAATTAACTAATCTTTTCGAAACGAAAACGTATTTCGGAATTTCGGTTAACATTCCATGAGTTAGCCCACCTACTGTACATCAAGGGTGTTGCAGAAGCCACCGAGCGCATTGCTGCGGATCTAGGTGTTGGAATTGCACACCGCCCCAATTCGATCATGAAAACCATAAACCGGTTAGAGCCGGGAGAGCAATCTGGAGTAGTGTACCGCATTCCGTGTCGTCATTGTCCTTGTAACTACACATGGCAGACTGGACGCATGCTCGGATCGTGCATACACGAACATAAGCTGACTGTGCGACGAGGCGACGCATTATCACAAGTGGCCGCCCACACCTACGAAATGAGTCACGAGTTTAATCTCGCAGCCACCAAACTAGTCGCCCACGCCGGAAACAAGACAGGCCGAGAACTGATTGAAGCCAGGACCTCGGATGAGAAATCGGTCAATCGATTTCTCGACCCGGCGTCGGCGTATAAAGCCCTGAGTAGTCACCTCCACTCTTGTGCCGTCGGTCGATGAGTGGCCTAAATGCCCCATAACTGTCGCTTGCTCTGCTGCTTGTACCTCTGACGATGGACTCCTGCACGAGTCCAAAAGCTCTGGACAATAAACAAAGTGTTTCGATGCTCGACCCTTCTCCTTCACTTTAATTTTGAAATAGGAGAAGTAAACCAAGGATCATTGATTTGCTTTTTCAATTAATCCTTCGACTGGAAACCAATGTGCAGAATTACATTATATTAACGCATTAGGTGAAGTGATTCTAAGTTGGGAAATTTATCGATTTGAGCCCTCGCTTCATAGCGTCGACCTATTGAGGCCAAATTTATCACCATTTCAAAAGTACTTCCACGAGTAAATAGAAGACGATGTGTGGAGTGTTTACGGACAACTTTGCTCAGAAGCAAGTGCTTTCGGCAAATTTTATTTTTGTTGAGTACTTCAGGCCACAGGGATAAAGTTTTGATGTGAGTCATGTTCTTGATGTACGTAATGGATCGGTTTCCTTTTCTTACGAACTCGCAAAAAAAATATTGTATAATAACTTAATATGATACTCGAGTTTCTGGTAAAAGCGCCATCGACCATTTATGCCAGTCACGCCATTACAGTCTGCACTTTAAGAGCTTGAGGACATGGAACACACGATATGCTGCTTAGTATATTGGCTTCTCACAAGTAACGATTCCAGCCAATGGACATGCGGTATGCCTATGTCCACTGCAGGACAGCTTCCTTTTACGTACGCTTCCAACTTAATTTTGGAAATTATGCGCTTACGCTGGAGAATTAAAATTGCACCAATGCTTCCGAATGAAATTCAAATCTTAAAGTTACACTACGGTACAGGTGTTAGTAACGAGTATGGAGCCACCGCTTTTGAGACGAACAGTTTTAAAAAACACACCGACTTTACGTTTTTCGACGCTCCAAGGACCATAACGCCCAATATGTAATCCTTTTCTTTTCATCTTGACACCGTTCATTGGCGCATACAAGAACTCACTTGACACAGTCCGGAAACCCGGACGATGTACAGTCATCTAAACAACAAAATCTGTCAAGATTACTATTCGATGCAAAAACCCGAATATTGAACTCTGAAGCAATTTATTCAGGTTCCGGACTTCAAATAAGACAGCGTAATACGTTAAAGAGAAAGTTCAAAAACAAAAAAGAAATATGTAGCCTTTAAGCTCCTCTTTTAATTTGAAGCGCAAACCCTGACTGTTAGCTAGGCTGAACAATCTCTTCAAATAGATAAGCGGGTAGTGCACCCTCACGAGTTCTGTACAGTGTCCAGGCCGTCTGGACATAGCCGTCCCACTTTGTTGATGAGATTGACACGTGGTCAGCCAACTTGACGCCCTCCTCCCTGAAGTCTGCAATGGCTCTCCACCAGCGTCTTTGCGAATGGATGCATTGGTACATCTGATCCACTGACTGCATCTGGAATGCAGCATCACCATAAATCGGGGACTTTGCCGAGAGGAGTTCGTAGGCAAGCCTGCAAACATTGGAGCTGCCGGTACAGACGAGGAAGTCGGCCGACACCAAAAGATGCAGATCAGCGAGGATGGCGTGCACACCTGCGGTAGACCAACGATTCTTATATGCACTTCCATTTCTCTGTCGACCAATAAATTCATATCTGGGGTATTTGGATCTGGCCTCCTGGAAAACGGATGCATCATCAGAAGCCAAGAAGACGCGTCATCGCCGGGACCACGACGGTGGTCTCCTACTGCCAGTTTCCAAGCCATATTCCCTCTCCTTTAATTCAAAGAAACGTTCAACGTGAAACATATACTCCTCTACTGCATGACTTGCTGCCTCAGTACCGACTTTATCGGTTCGACGAATGTGTATGCTGGCGATTGGTCCGTCGTATGTTTGGGTATCTGAAATCTTCTTCATACCCTGCAACTCCATTTCAAGTTCACGGCGCACGGCCAGATCTTTTGGACGAAGCATGTACTTCAACAGATGACCACGGTACCACGGAAAGGGATCACCCAATGTCGTACCTAGTTTACCGGACCACTGCCTTGGCATAGCAGGGGCATAATAGCGTGTGCTTATATTCGGAAGTCCGTTTTCTAGACGAGGGACATTCGGCAGTCCTTCGGCCTGTTTCGACGAGCAGTTAGAGAACGGCAGAAAGATGTCCTTCCAGTCATTGTACTGCAGCAGCAGAGTGCGATTAGTTGCGAAGGCAAATGAAAACTTCAGAACCATGTGATGAGCAGAACATCCAAATCCGCAACTATAACGTAGTTCTGCCAGAGCGAAGCGCGACTGACTGCAGTCGGGAGGATTCTGTATCCTCGAAATTTGGTTTCGCAGTTCTGAGCTCAGTGCATCCACGTGTCGACGTCTACTCTCACGCCGACCACTGAGTTTGTCGAGCAGATCCAGTCTCGCCGTGAGCTGAAGTGTAGCATGAAATAGGAGAGTGTTTAAGTGGGTTATTGATGGAGATGTCTAGTTGCGTGTGGGGAAGTGGGCATTAGTCAGTCTCCAGAGTTCGTTGACGGTTGAACGAGCCTGTCTGAATAGCACGTCGGGCTTTGGTGACCTTTTTTCAGTCGGAGGAGTATAATCAAACATAATCGTCTCAACATTATTTCCAGCACAATGCTGTAACCAGATAAAACTGAGACGCCAGACGATGCAGACAGTCAGCGCGGAAATGCAAAGGATGAGTCCTGCTGCTTTTCTAGGCCACATGTAACTTTGAGAAGGGGAGAACTGAGTAACTGATTTTGTTTTGCTCAATGTGTGCTATTGCTTGCAGCCATGCGGTTTAAACAAATTTCAGATAGAAGAGGCTTTTTTGAGTCTAGGTACTCCCACCAATCATCTCGTGCGCCAAAGTCTAAGGTGCGTATTTTCGTTATGATAATCTGGTGCTGAAGATCCTAACCGGGCATAGTGGCGGCAGTTGTCGATGAGGGAGGCCTGACTTGTCATGGAGTGCTCTGATTCGCAAGAGGCCGCTGTATTTGGGGTGCATACTGAGAACAGACAACAGTCATGCCGTCAGAAAACCTCGAAACCTGTGACGATGTATTAGGCACGGCAGTCCTGACTTCATTCTACGCATAAGCTATCCACTTCGCTTTAGAAGCTGAGAAGCACTTCTAACGATGTCATTAAGTAAATTTTCTACTTGTGATTTGCTTAAGGCATTTCGGGCATTCCGAATATCCTTCTTTATTTGATCCTTCGAGTTGCAAGCACGACTGTGGCAATATGTGCAGCAATTGCCACGGGTTTTCAAAGGGCCTATGATAGAAGTTAGCGGTAAAATTCGTCCACCGATCTACTGACTCACGGAAGCCAGCAGTAAACTAGAGATTTTTAAAAAGCATGTGTGAGCATTCTGACTTTCGTGTAGAATGCGACTTCTACGCCCCACATACATCGTCAAACTACCAGACTCACATGACCGAGTGTTGCAGATATGCGACTGAATGCGCAGTTCCTGGTAGAAGTAGTAGTTCGAACTGTCAATATTTCCATACGTTACCGTAGAAAGGCATTTCCGTCCGTCCCTAAGTAAGGTTATCCGCGTTGCAAAATTTCAATTTCTTCGAAACATTTGGCAGGTTAAGGAGACCAAAGAGGAAATATCACTATTCTGTTTTAATGTTTGAATTTGTCTTACTCCTCGATCACATGCCAAATTGCGGATCGTCTGCAAATCGGTTTATCAAGCAAATCATCTAAGTAATCTGTTGCGTCATGCAAGCATGATCAGGTGAGTACGGGGAAACCATTTTATCCTTTTGGCAGCTTGTTTGCAGACAAAAAGGCAACATTTGTGCATTTCCTTACTGTTTCACCAGCATTGAACAGATTCCCTGTTTTTCTGCCCAACCACGAGTTAACGCTGATCGTTCACAAGAGCACACCTCGTTTGATGATTCGTTTGATCATGTCTTGACGGGTCCTTGTTTGTGTCAACTACACTCGTGAACCCTCTGTTGCATGTTACTTGCACGGATGCCTCTGGTGGCTAAAGACAGAATAAGGAGAAAGATGGCGGCCGATGGTGTCTCCTCCCTGTACTGATGATGACATCTCTGCTCATGCTCGAAACCAAAGCCCCATAGACCAAGGAGCTATGAAATCCACATGATCGTCCACTGCAGGTATGCGACTGCGTACGCATAATTGTTCCAACGGCATACAAAATCTACAGGGACTTTCTGCATTTGTCTCCGATGATGGGTTCGAGCAGGGCCCGAAACGTCAGGCTACTAAAGCTCTTGTCCCAGCGATCGTGTCTCCTTCTTCACGAATGCTTCCCGGAACTCGCCTCTTCGTTTATACGGACAGATTGTTTTCATTGCCAAAGACCACCTCGTTCCATCAATAAGTCAAGATGACGTGATCCTCAGTCCAATGCACCCGTCTTTTTCATGTCGACGGCGACATTTGCCGACGTTCCCTAATAGATAGTAACGATGCAGTGTCTATAGTACATAAACAATTTTGGCGGCAAATGAGCAAAAATATTAACTGCAGCATGTTTGTTTTGACTGTGATCATCGCACGAAGAACGACCCTCGGCGATGTAGCCGGGTGTTGCGAGTTATTGCAATAATGTACTAGGAGGGGAAGGGCATTTAATAAATACTTCGTTCTATTTGCCTCCATTACCGTTGTCTATGACCGTCTGTCCAGATGGGTTCAAGTTGGAGCCCGATACGTCAGGCCAAGATACATTATGTTCCAACAATTGCATCTTCCTCCCGACTGTGATGGTTTCTTCTCACTATTGCCTTTATGGCACTCCTGCCCTATGAGAGCCTACTTTTCTCTGTTGACCGGCCACCATTGTAATAGAGGCCAGCTTTTCTTTTAGAGTGGTGAAAATCTCCATAGTCATATTCAGAAGAGAAAGTGGCGAGTAAACGTTGATTTCGATAACTTCTCGTCAGGCCAGTACAGTTATATGGGACGGAGTACAGTGAGTGAAAAAGTCAATAAAAGTTTTTAAAATACAGGCTAGGCATAAGCGGAAGGGCACAAAATATTATATGTGGTTACTAAACTTTTGACCACGATAAGCACGGAGCATGAACGAGGTTCTTTGGGAGCATAGAGTCGGCGGCTGCTTCTGCCGTTTCTAACAAGCGATGGCCCAGTGGCTTAGGGTAGCTAGAGAGGATCTTATAAATCACACGAAATGCTTCAGCGGGATTCACATGATGCCCTGAATCTACTGCATGTGCAAGGATGGCGCTGTCTATTCTCCTAGTTTCACATTTTGCCAAAGATGCGGGAAGGTGTTTTTATATTCTTTTGGAAAGGTGCCGACTCGTACAACCAATATAACCCGCTCCAATGAATAGATGCACATTGAGGTCGTCCCGGGTGACAGCTTATCCTTGCCTTTTCCGCGTAAAATAGGGTTGGTAAAAAATGATATGCGAACCCTTGCTGCTGGGAAGGTTCCCGAGACAGCCTAGTTAAGGGGTCCTTTTGGGAGTTTACTTGCAGCGTCTCCTTTGAAAGGGACTTTGAGCAAAAACGCTTTCTTTTCGGTGGTCAGTATGGGGTGGTTTTGTGGGTCGTTCGGCAAGGTTCTTTGATGAGTGACACAAATAAGACGGAGCGGTAAACTCCAGTCTCTCCTGTCGAGGTTGACATCTCTCTTCAGTTGTTCATTAAAATGTTTATGATACCAAGAGTTGGAATGTGTTTAGATAGTAAATCCAAGGTGAAAAGGACTGCCATATTGCATTCTGTAGTTGAAACATGTCATGAGTGGAATTTAAGGAATAAAATCGGCCGATTATGGCCTCTTGCTGCATTAATCGCGACTTATGTTTCCTTCGGTATGCCGTATTAAAAAAAGCAGGTTTTGTTTGACTGTGGTCGTAAGTGCGGTCCCTTTAAATACAGATAAATGTCCCATTACTGGCAAGCAATTAAAGAAGTCAGTCAAAAGGGCCTCAAAGATATGGCCACAAGGACCCAACAATAAGAGTTCCCGCTGCGCAGCATCAAGATTACGCTTACTGATTTCTGGTTGAAGTTATTAAAAAGTCAGTCGAAACAAGCGTTTACAGTTAACTGGTTAAGAAATGCGGCAAAACTCGAGACACACAGACTTTTGAAGAGTTTTTTTTTCGGAAAATGAGTCAAAGAAAAATAAAAAAGAAATGGCCCTCTTAAGGCTATCTTGATTTTGCTGGAGATTTGATGCTCACATTTACATTCACCCGGCGTCGATAGGGAAAATGAGAAGTTGTTAGGCCTGAGTAAAAATTACATAAAAACCTTCAGATATCCTGTTTTATTTCTGAGAACAAATGACATTTTTCTGTAGTAATTTGTTCATGAACACAACGTATGGTTTAAACACACATGCCGCGCACGGGATCTGTCTAATAGGCATTGTTTTAACTGAAGATTACTGGATGCTAATAAAGTTCTAATCATCTCATATTTACGCACACTCCTTTGAAGGACCAGAGGTTAATCAGGATTTTAAAGCTCTCCTATCAAAACCCAAAGTGAAGATAGGAGTTAATGCCCTGCATAGATTACCATACCGCTTCTTGACTAAGCTCGCCAGGAAGAGCATTTGTAGTGTCGAGTGATAGATCAACGAAATGTACCACTTGCGTTAATGAATGGATATAACATCCTTACTGCCCGAGCTAATTAATGGTCTGGTTTTGGTCCAGCAACTTTGATGGTTGGGTAGAAAATGTCGATGCTCACACATCTGCCCGTGATCTCACCTTTAATCACCTATTCATCTTGCTGGCCGCTAGATCAAGCTCTGGAAGTTCCCCCTTTAAGCAGTAATTTTATGGTAGTGTAACATAGCTTCCAGCTTTCACCCATTTTACCATCAAAATTACAGGGCTGTGTTTGTGGGCAGCATGCTGTTAAACATAAAGACCTCTGGCCAAGAGTTGGCACATGGAGAGACCACCCTCTCCTCTCCTGACCGTATGGCGGGCTCATGAGTATTTGATTAAAAATAGACAGTGCGTGAGGGATCTCACGATATGTTGGCCGAAATTCTGAAGTGCGTTTTCCCCTAGGAAGGATTAATAAGGTGGCGTTGTAATATTAATTATCATGTAGCGTAATACTGTAATATATCGGACGCTCCATAATGTCGGCTTTTAAAAGGAATTCTTCCTGATATCTTGCAGAAACTGAACTCGGTTAAAAATGACTTCCTAAATAACATTGATTTTTTTTACCTAGTTTGGATGATCACACAAATTAAAATATATTTTATAGAAATCATGCACAACTCTATGCATTCTTTTAATTGTTTGGTGGAAAATCACACTTCATATATTATACCTGAAAAAGCCTTTTTGAAGGTTTTGAAAAAGTTTCCCGCTTCCCGAATAATTATGAGCCTCAATAGTCGTTGAATTAGCGTTTACAGATTTAGGTCTACAAGCTCCATGCGTTGCGCGTAAGGAAAATCATATATTTCAATATGCTTTACAGAAGACACTGTATAGACATAATAAAATTCTGCAATGGGCACGGGCCGTGTTGTACACTTCACTAGAAACATTGGTAAACGGGAACGTGCCATGATATATAAACAGTACCTGTGCTAACTCATGAAATGTCATGAATTAACACAGGTGAACGACTTTAACGCAGAATCGGTAAACACTAGTTCTCACAAAATCTGATAGCGGAAAATAAAAGATATGTCAAAGAAATAAAGCAAATTTTAATTTAGAAAATATTATTTACTGAGATAAAAATAAATAATTTCCGACAAAAGTCACATTTTCGAGAAACGCCTATATTACAACCAAACTAATAATGGGCTTCGTATGTGGGTGTATAAAGGAGGAGGGCGCATAAAAGGGCAAAAATAATTAAGGACAGAAACAGCTACAAAACATCAGTACTTTGTTGATTGTCCATTTGAATGAATAACTGCAGAAGGTCTGTAAGTCTGTAGACATGACGAGGTTATCTATGCTGGATTGTAAAATGTAAGTTTTGAGTATGAAATCCAATTTGTCCTGCATTGAAAGAGTCTTCTTAGCTTTGTCCCAATTTCTTATGACTATTCCAAAAGGATTTTTGATAGGATTCAAATCGGGACTGTTGGCCACGATGAAAATAGATTGAAGGCCAATTGTGGAGAGGGTGGTTGTTATCTGAAATGTTAGATTATATTTGCAAGCGACATCACTTTCTTACCTCGTTAGAGCAGTGGAAGGGTGCATTGTCGTGCAAAATTACAGTATCCATTCGGCGCCGACTTATGCCGTTGTAGCCGAAAGCATCCTTGACAATTGCAATAAACACCTTGCTGTTGATGGTGTCGGATGTTGACCGCCAGACAGGCCGCTCACCGAATTTAATCGCCATCCCAACCATGATCCGCCGACAGTTCTTGAATGGTGCCGTCGGTGTAGTGTGTTCTCTTGGGATGTTCTTTCCACATACGACGGTTTGGAGCAATTTCGTAGGCTTGTCTAAAAATAAAACCTCATCGCAGAAGAAAATGCTCTTCTAAAATGAAGATCTGTAATCAATATAATTCTTAGCAAATAAAAGCCGTTCGCTAATTAGTTTTCTACTTAAATATGGCTTAATCATGGCCTTCCGCCGCTGCAGTTCAAATTCCTTCATCCTCTTTCTAATGATGTTCATAGAAAACTTCGGCAGATGTTCCCGTTGAATGGTCTCAATGGGCATGTAATGAAACTCTTTTAATGTACTACGAATAAAATCGTCGTCTTGCTTACTTGTGGACCGTTTGGATCCTCCTATCTTATTTCTAGGAACAGTTTTATTATTAATAATGCGCCACACAGTGACCTTACTAATACTGAAAATACTAGCTAACGACTCACGCGGGATCCCCTCCGCCGCTAATTTTCGAATAGGCTGGAAGTCAACTTCGGATAGGTATACTTTAGACATATGTATCGTTTGGCGTGATAGAGAAAAGTGACGGCATGTCGCGCGAGCTCAATACATTCGTTTACAATACGCATTTTCGGTCTGGTAAAACAATCACACTGATAAACTTTTTCATTTCGGTATTATAAAACATAAAAATTTATGGATTTTTAAAATACATTTTTAGATGAAGAATCACACGTTATTTCCTGAAAACAATAAGAAATAAGTAAGCTGCATTTCCCTGATTTTCGTGATATTGAAATTTAATTTTTTTTTGCGAAAATTTATTGGAAAATTTCTTCCTTTTATCAATCTTCTTAAACAAATTAATAAGGTGAAACAAAAAATTTCGATCCGAAAGCCTTAGTAGCGTAGGAAACTGCTTGAATATCAGGAATCCTCCGATTTCGCCTAAATTCGGCCCGTTTTCTATTTAATATACACATCCGTATCAAACATTCCTTAAGCAAATGGACTTTTCGTCCTTATTTCAACTAAATAAACACAAATAACAACAGCAACAATACGCTACAGTTTCCACCCTAATTTTGACCTCGGCATTTCATGAGTTAGCACAGGTATTGTACAGACATCGCACGGTCATAAAAATCTCATAAGTAAAAATTCTTTTTAAAATCGAAACATAACCTTTCCTAAAGCAAAAAATATAAAGAAGATGTGGTTTTCTACCAAAACAGCATAAGAAAGCGTATTTTGTGCATGTTTTCAATAAAATATTCTCGAATTTGTATGACTATCCAACATAGGTGCGGAATATGAATGTTGCTTAAGTAGTCATTTTTTACCGAGTTCGATTTCTGCGAGATATCAGAAAGAATTGCTGTCAAAAGCTGGCATCCTGGCGTGTCGGATATACTATAGTATTATGCTACATGGTAAGTAATATTACAACGCCACCACATTAATCCTGCCTAATCGAAAACGCCTTTCAGAATTTAGGCGAACATTTCCTAAGACCGGTCGCGCACTGTACTACTTGCTTCCTGCAAATACCCGGATGTAAAATAAGCAAGTTACCCCGGTGTCCTCATTCCAGAACTGCCTGTTCTGTCTCCCTGTCCGTCAACGATAGCCACGTTTTAGTCACGAAGAGTGCTTTCTGTTGCCTAAAAGAGATCGAACGTTAAATCAGTCATTCTCAATACATGGCTAGAGAGGTGGTCATTCGGAACTGTTCTTGAATGCTGCTGTGCACGAAGAGTTTCCCTCATCAAACCCACAACGCCGTCTGTGGTGTCTGTCCAACAGTCCCTTTATTTAATGAAGAGTCGCCGAGCTATAAACACCCGGCCCGGACCCCACTAAAGAAAAACTTATTCGCGGGAATTACTTGTCAGGAGAAATCCCCATTCCCTCATCACTACTTAGCCTTTAACTGCTAAGACCCACAGAGTGCTTTTATTCACAAAACTCACACCCTGCTAGGATCGATAGTATCATTAATTGGCGTACGCAATTATGACATTTATGAGTGGTCAGACCACCAGCTGCACTCACGCACAAGGACGCGAAGCCTAGAATTGAAAGGGTTTTAATATAAATTTCGAGGAGTAGCGAATTCCGCTGATGTGATAGTAATTTTCTCCGATGTCGTCTTTTCACACACATATTATATACTTCATATTGGCCCAACTGTGAAACACTCGGCGCCTCAGTGGAATTGGAACTCACGCATTAAGCGGAAGGCTATAGTACGGCCAACGATCTAACCACTTGAGCTACGAGGCCCCGCCGGACGACGTGAGTGTAATCACACTTAGGTCATTTAGGACATATTATATAGCACAAATCTCCCCAAATCTAGGATACGTATGTTGCCACCACTGACTTATATGAACTGCGAGTAGGAAGCAACTCTTCGCTCTCTGATATTGCAGCCATATTCAACACATTGTTAGCCCAAGCAACACGATTTAATAACGGAACATCTGTGTAATATCCGCCTTGATTTCATCCTGAGATTCAAACCCACACCTTTTACCCGACGACATTTTCGTCCTTGCCAAGTCTCGGCGTAGCTTCAGCCGGATTCCCACGCATTCCGTCAGTTTTCAGGTAATAATAGGTGTTCTGCTTGTTCCGTCCACCGTGTATGCCCCACTGTCGTTGTACTGAACTTTTTAAACACGCATAGTCTCCTTTTTATTGTTACCGCTGCTTTCAAGCTGGGAGTGAAAAAAAAGCAACCATCTGACCGGCAACATCCTTGGTTTTTTTTAATAATTTGTTTGACATTTTTCCTTGGAAATATGACTTAATTTGAATTGGAATCGGAGAACAAACGAAAATGTTCGTTACTCCTGAGTGCTTTTGTTAATGCATTTTGCGGAGTTGGTCAGAAGACTGTGGGGTCGCTCGTCAAAACACGTTCGTATGGGGTTAAGCTCCCAACTGGGACGTTCAGCTACTATTCTTAAGACCAAAACACAGTGAAAAGGTTCATCATATGGCTCCGCGCCTACCGCGTGCCGTGTTATCGAAGAAACGCCTCGTGTTCAGTTTCAGGTTCACATGTCACTAGACATGGGTAGCGTTTATGGTCGGGGTTGCTTACTCGGGGGAGGGCATTTGTATTGAGCAGAAGAATTGGACAGGTAGGAACTTTGCCGTATTAGACATTTTGATCCTCCATATCGTCACCAATTGAATACTGACGCTTTTTACCATTTAACGACAATGGTAAACGAGTCTAATGCCCCTCTGTAGTCATTGTCAAAAAGGCATTGGAATTTAGAATTTTCATTCCGATAACAACATTAGAGCATTATGATCAATCCCAAGCAACCGCCAACCCGTGGTCTTTTTTATATTTTTCCGCGATGTTAGTCTAGTAGTGTCCGCATTTAGTAAAAACTACTCAATAGATGGATCGTGAAGAAGGATACACGATGGCCGGGACAAGAGATTTATTAGCCTGACTGTTCGGATTCCTACTCGAACCTATCACCAGAGACAAAAGCAGATACGGGTGATTCATGCACGAGGGGCGTAGTATTTATAGGATGCAGTCGCCATGCAACCACAATCCTATGAACAGTCTCGGCTCCCCCTTTCATCCGCGATCGTTGCACGTTGTGTGCTGACTGTTTGATGGCCGACATTTGCGTCGTTAATTGGTGCAATTTCATCACGTGCGTCGGATGTTGATGTGATGATTGCTCGACCATTTGATCCACCGACCCTAGCGTTGGGAAAATTGTTCACCTACGCGCTCCGCGTGGCTAATTACTCCGTGTAGGCGAGTTTGCAGCATTGGGTATGGAAGGGGAAGTTCACTGCACTTATTAATTGATTGGGGGCCAGTAAACCATGATTCAAGTACCTCCCGGCTCACGCAGAACTGGAATGTGTGGTCGGATCTCGTCGAATGAGCCGCAACTTGAGAGCTAGCGTCATTTCTCCGCTCGGCTGCAGCGTGCTCGACCATTCGCTTTCGGAGTTGTCTTCCGGTTTCTCCGACGTAGTTGCTTTGTCCGCAACTGCACCAGATCCGATAAACGACTCCAGACGTTCCTTGCCGTGGCAACGTGTTTTTCGGTTTCGTTTCAAGACGCCTGATGGTTGCCTCCGGTCAGTGTGCAACTCCAACCCCAAGTGGTGCGAGAAGGTGACCAAGAGCCTCCAAAACGTTTTTGACATACGGGAGCGCCCGCCAAGATTTGGTGTTCGTGCGGTTAGGCCTTTCGTGCCTTTTGCATATGCACCGGCTGACGAAGTTGCGTGGGTAGCCATTGGCTTTCAAGACCCGTCGGATGTATTGTATTTCAGCAATCTTTTCTTCCGGCTCACTGCAGTGCGTTTCGACACGCTGATAGAGCGTCCTTACACAACAGCATTTTTGGCTGATTGAGTGGTCGCAATTGAAGTTCAGTACTTGCATCGTATTTGTCGCTTTCCTGAACACTTTGCTTTTTAGTTCACCACAATCCTTGCGGCATGCGAGGACATCTAACATCCAACACACTTGATGAAATTGCAGCAATTAACGGCGCGAATATCGACCATTAAATAGTCGCACCAAGTGCAACGATCACTGGTGAAGGGGGGGGGGAGCCACGTTGTTATGGCGACTGCACACTCTAAATACTACGGCCAATTTTGCATGAACCACCCATATCTGCTTTTGTCTCTGATGATGCGTTCGGGCAGGGGTCCGAAACGTGAGGCTAATAAAGCTCTTGTCCCAGAGATCGTGTCTCCTTCTTCACAACTGCCTCCTGGGGCTCGTCTCTTCGCTTCTATTGGCAATATATGGGCCGCTTTTGCGGACCTCACCGACACACGGATTTCTTCGCGGGAAACCCCTGCCAGTATCTGCGATGATGGAGCTACCGAAGCGGTGTCAAGCGGCTGTGGAGGGGCAAATCCCCGGTACTGCCCCTCTTGCCCCCTCCCCGAAAAAAGAATGCGCTGGGAGACGTCTTATTTTTGCCAGCTTT